TTTTTTTTTTTTTTTAATTTTTTATGTTTTTACATTAAAATTTGAACAAACCATAAATATAACTGGAGAAAAACTAATACATTTAGCTGTCTTCTTCAAGTTGGTCCAAAGCATTTTTTTTTTCTCAATGTGATTTTTCCTGCAGTATAATCGCTTCATTTGTTTGTTATAAAGGGCATGGCCAGGTTTACAATCATAATGGTCCATTCATGGTTAAATGTGAGTCCTGCTGTGTTGTATTTACCTGAACACGCTCTGTTTTTAAGGCTAAATCCGGGTCTGCATGACACACAGCGATACGATCCCTGAGAGTTCACACACTCCTGTCCGGGACACTGCAGCGGATCTTCACACTCATTCACATCTGGAACATCACGCACATCATCCATGCACACGGGAACACACTCATATTTCTCATCTAAACCTATATACCCTAGTAAAAAAGTAATGTACTTAAAATACATTTATTTTATACTAAGTATAGTTCAAATCTTTTAACATATTTACTGACAGATAACTTGAGACTGATATAAAAATTATAATTAAACTTTATTTGGCGTACTACTCATGCACAATGCACATTTATTAATATTACAATTTCAACTGCTTACACACTAAATCTTTACTCGTCACACAATTTCTGAAAGCTGACACTCAAACACCAGAAGCACACACCAAATCTGTAAAACCATTCACTAATTCTTGGCCTTTGACTCTTTTTGAAAACACTTTTTGCAAAACACAACACACAATTCTCTATGTAACACACACAAATTTAACAGGAATTAATATTATGGCAAAGGTGTTTGCAAATGTTTGCTTTTGAGATGTGCTTGTGATATTTTGAATGCAGTGCTCCGTTTTGCAAGAGATGTGAGGCATTTTGCATTTTGTGTGTGCAGTTCTTGGATTTGTGTGTAAAGTTTGGAAAAAAAAAGAGGCAAAGTTTTGAAAGTGTGTGTAAGCAGTTGAAAAAAAAAGTGTAAGTCTGTGTTACTTAATATCCTAATGATTTTTGGCATAAAAGAAAAATCTATAATTTTGACCCATACAATGTATTTTTGGCTATTGCTACAAATATACCCCAGCGACTTAACACTGCTTTTGTGCTCCAGAGTCACATATTTAATTGGACTTCAGCACCACTTCCGCACAATTACAGTGCATTAAGTACAAAATTAATTGTTCCAATTTAGCAGACTTTAAGTATACCAGTTTAGTGTACTAGAAGTACAATTGCAGGGTATTTTATTAAGTACATAAATATGAACATGTATTTGTAGTATACTTAGCATGAAATAAATGTGTTTCAAATGCATTTAAGTATATTTATTCTTCACTAGGTTCATTTAGACTGTAGTGGCTTTAACACTTCTTACCCACGCAGGCGTTGGCCTGGGATCTGTATCCCGTTCGACACGAGCATCTGTAGCTGCCGGGAGTGTTTTCACAGCGGCCCGCGTCCGAACAGGGTGACGGCGTCCGACGACATTCATCAATATCTGAAGAAGAGAACCACTGATTTTACCCTGAACGGCTCAGCTTTACTCTTATAAACCCTTGGAAAAGTACATCGGAAAAGTACATTTTAAAAACTGTGCTTGAGGATAATATGATATTAATGAAGGCCACTTAAGTGGACTTAAAGAGAGACACTTTCATGACTTTGTTTCTTAACACTATTAGACTCTTAAACAAGTAGACGCTTAAAAAGTGCACTTCGTAATCACGTCAAGTTTTACTTTAAAGTGCATTTTAATCGTTTAGTCTTTTGTGGTGCTTTGAAAGCATGTGTAAAATACCAGATTATAATTTTAACTGTAGTGTGTTATTTAATATTATATGTATTTTAAGGCCTGGTTTCACAGACAGGGTTTAGACTAAGCCAGGATTAGGCCATAGTTCAATTAGGACATTTAAGTAATTTTTCATAAACGTGCCTTACTGGTGTGCATCTTGAGCCAAAACAAAGGCACTGATATATTTTAAGTTCAGTCAGTGCAAGTTTCTTTCAGTTGAAACGGCTCAGACTTACATTTTAGTCTGGGACTAGGCTTAAGCCTTGTCTGTGAAACTGGGGGCTAATGTACTAAATATCATTTTTTTTTGTAGTACATAACAGAAAATATGCATACAGTATTTACAAAGAATATGAGAATAAACAGTACATTTTTTTGAAGCTCTCTTTATTTTTATTAAGTAAACTAAATTTAACATTGACTAACAAAATGTTTTTAGTTTTATCTCAAGTGAAAGATCTACTTCTACTATTATTACTACCATAATATAACTAATTTAGCTTTTGTTTATGGTGAAACGGAGTTAAAAAAAAGCCCTCAAAAATTATATTGACCAACATTAAGCAACAACTTGGCCTATGTCTAACTTCATGACATTAAATTACTAAATATATTAAAGTAAACTTTAGTTTGTCATAAATGCTTGTCAGTGCATTCAGCAGTAACTTTAACCATATTTCAAAGACAACAGAAGTAATTATGAAATTACATATAAAAAAGTTCAAAAAAGCACAATTAATTGTATTTATTTCTAAATTTAAACTAATACATTTTCATTTAATTGTAAATGACATGCAATTAAGTGTCTGAAAACATTACATTCAGTTCACACTTAAGTATAATCTTTTAAAATATTTTTTTCTGTAATAAGTACTCTTTTTAAAAGTGTGGCTCTTTTTCACAACAAAACAGGGCCCTTTTACAGCAGACTAATACAGATTAGTGTGCAGTAAAATAAATATTTACAGTCAATCCGCTGATATTTGTGTGCAGTGTGTTACCTGAACATTGTCCGTTGAGCAGATCAAAGCCCGGCTTGCAGGAGACACACCTGTAAGAGCCCTGAGAGTTCACACACTCCTGACCCGGACAGCGCAGGGGGTCGACACACTCATCTATGTCTAGGAGCACAAAACACCACATGATTTCAATTCACAGTTTAATAAACCTAACAAACACTGTTTTTGGAGACGGAAAACACATGATTCATTCCTATCATGCAGTACATTTGTACAATACAATTGTACAGTACAATACAATGTTTGGGCTCAGTAAGAGTTTTTAATGTCTTTGAAAGAAGTATCTTCTGCTCACCAAGGCTGCATTTCTTTGATTAAAAAATACAGTCAAAATTGTGAAATATTATTATAATTTAAAATAGCTGTTTTCTATGTGAATATCTGTTAAACTGTAATTTATTTCTGTGATCAAAGCTGTATTTTCAGCATCATTGCTCCAGTCTTCAGTGTCACATGATCTTCAGAAAGCATTCTAATATGCTGATTTGCTGCTCAAGAAACATTTCTGATTATTATCAATGTTGAAAACTGTTGTGCTGCACACTATTTCTGTGGAAAACGTGATAGATGTATTTCAAGATTATTTGATAAATCGAAGGTTCAAATGCATTTTCGCTCTGCAACAGCATTTTTTTTTATGTTTGATCAATTGTATGTGTCCTTGTTGAATAAAAGTATTTATTTCTTTATAAGAAAAAAATCTTACTGACCCCAAATTTTTGAATTGTAATAAATGTCTTAAAATATCGGATACTATATAAAGTCATGATGGAAATCATTTGGTCAAAACAAAACAAACAAACAAACAAACAAATAAACAAATAAATAAATAAATAAATAAATAAATAAATAAATAAATAAATAAATAAATAAATAAATAAATAAATAAATAAATAAATAAATAAATAAATAAATAAATAAATAAATAAATAAATAAATAAATAAATAAATAAATAAATAAATAAATAAATAAATAAATAAATATCATAATTATCAAAGTTTTTCACCTCAGCAATACTTTTTTTTGCATTTTTTGTCTTATTAATAATTACATTTTAAAATTATATATTTTTTTACTTTTTACACTATACACTATACACTATACACTATATAAAATTTTACACTATACACATTATTTCTTTAAAATTTGGGGTGAGTAATAAATTAATGCAAATTATAAATTAATTAAACTGATGAAAAGTGACAGAAAAGACACAGTATATGCTGTTATTTTTCCAATTCAAATAAAGCTTTCCGTTCTTTCATCCAATTTTCTGCTCATCAGAGAATCCCAAAATAAAAATAAAATAAAATAAAATAAAATAAAATAAAATAAAATAAAATAAAATAAAATAAAATAAAATAAAATAAAATAAAATAAAATAAAATAAAATAAAATAAAATAAAATAAAATAAAATAAAATAAAATAAAATAAAATAAAATAAAATAAAACAAAGCAAAGCAAAATAAAATAATGTTTTATCACTAAAATAAAGTGCTAGAATGTACAAAGCAAATTGAGCAAGCGTTATGGGTAAAATGATTTGAATGACCTATGCAGCTGTTGTCCTGTAGCTTGTATCCAGTCCTGCACAAACACCTGAAGCTGCCCAGTGTGTTTTCACAGCGGCCGTTAACACAGGGATTGGGCACCTGACGGCACTCATCCAAATCTGTGGAACCCATCGATCTCATCAGTGATTACATGCACAGCATTCTACAAACAAGCTATTAGGACGTGTTTATCCAGCGCACTGAGAGAATGAGATGTTTCTGACCGACACACAGGGTCTGCTGGAAGTTGGTCTGGTATCCTGATGGACAAACGCACCGGAAGCTGCCCGCTGTATTCTCACACTGACCCACAGAACACGGCCGGGGCGTCAGCACACACTCGTTTATGTCTGAATGTGTGTGTGTGTGTGTGTATGTGTGTATGTGTGTGTGTGTGTGTGTGTGTGAGAGAGAGAGAAAGAAAGAGAGAGACAAAGATAAGATGGTTTGATCATTGATTTCTTCTGACTCTTCTGAGTATAGCGGACAGTGTTATTTTTTATATAATTGATGTACTAATATACTAGATTTTTGTTAACATTTTAAATTAGGTTTTATTTTTGTAATTTATGTTTTCATGTTAATTTTAGGTCAAGTTTTTATTTTATATTTTTCTATGTTTTAATTAGTTTTTTAATGTTTACATATTTTTTATTTATTAATTTTAATTAATTTTAGATATTTTAGTACTTAAACTAAACAAAAATGTGATCGCCTTGGCAACTAGCTTAAATAAAATAAGTTTACGTTTTTGTAACATTTGTTTTTCAAGTAACACATTTTCAAATGATGTAACTTTATTTTTTAATTTTTTTATATATTTTCAGTTAACTTTTCATGGGTTTAGTTAACTATAATAATCCTTATTGTGATACTACTAATATTTCTGGCTCCTTTATAAAATATATTTAGATAAATTGCTTATGCTTTTCCTCAATGTACATGACTTTTACTGTTGCAAGTAACATTATAAAGTCATGCATGTGCATAAAACAAATTCACACAGATACAGCACTGAAAATCAGAGATGATAAATGAGCTAGCTGTCCTCTTAGCAATGTCACCCTGATCTTTGACGTTTAAAAGCCTCGAAGAACCAATGAGAAAAAGAGGAATCCTTCTACAATGCCAAATATTGGTGAGTCACGTAAAACAATCTGAAATGTGCCGTGGACAAATGGCAGGTAATTTGGTGGTGTGGAAGGATCATGACTGAACCTGACTGAATATTTACAACCCTTTTTAGGAAGTAGGCTACATAGATATGTTACCTTATATATTTTTCTTCTTTAGAGTGGAAGTCTGAAGTGTTGCTTATTTCTCATCTTTAAAGTCATGCAGTAACTCACAGGCTCATACCTTGGCAGTGGCCTTGCTGAGGGTTGAGGATATATCCAGTGTTACACACACACGTGTGTCGACCGCCTGGCAGGTCAATACAGCGCCCCGAACCGCACACCTGAGGTCTCGATTCACACACTCGGCCATCTGGAGAACCACACACAAGGCCAAAAAAAAACAGTTCTGTCATGACAACTCTCGGAGGGATTGGCATGGTAATGTACATGACAATGTTAATGTATTTGGTCTTGGCAGAATAGATCTGCTACGCTGCTGCTGCTTGCAGCAGAGCAAGTACCGAGACTTGCTACTGCCAATACATCCACAACATGCTGCTGTGAGCATGCAAGAAATACTGCTGCTGCACATATAACATACGTGAAATAACCCCCATATTGCATACGTGAATCATCTCGTAGCAGATCTATACAGGTGGAGCTGGGGAAGGTGAAGGGTTTCTGAAGCAAGCTGCGACTGCTACGGCAAGCACTAGTCATGTATTTGAATGTTGAGCAGCGAGCTCATTGGCTACCGATACAGGAGACAACCAATCAGCTGTGCCATGTGATAATGATGTCATTAGGTCAGATTGAGTTAGACCTATCGGACTGCGCCATCTAGAGTTTCATGCCAGAACTCTGTATTTATAAACAACAGCATTCAATTAGAAAGTAAATAAACAAATACAAATAAAAAATAAATAAAAACAGAGAAAATTATATACTGTATATAATTTTATATATAATATAATGTAAAAAACAACATATTAAAATTGAATTAAAAGGTAATTATCTATCTATCTATCTATCTATCTATCTATATTAATAACTTCAATAACTTTTATTAAAATTTTACACAAACATCATTATACACAATGCTTGCATATGTTCATGTGCATTCAAACTTTCTGAAATATCATGAAACGTTCATTCATTATAAAATTATATTTTTCATTATTATTTATCTAACATTTGTTCATGATTAAAAAGGGATGAAATTAATTGTGCACTTTTAAAACACTTTTTCTTTGGTAAAGTCATTCAATATCAGGTCAATTTGTGGTTTAGATAATCAGATCAGCCAAACTCAATCTCAAAAGTATGCTGTGTTCCTAAGATGACTGACATTTATTCATTCCTCTCCAAACCAAATTCATCGAACAATCACACTGAAGACAAATTATGAGAAAATTACAGTTCTGTATCCAGCTCGGCATTTTTCAAGGTTGATATGTATTTGGCGTCACTTCAGCTCTGGAAATCAAAGAAGTTAGTCATTTATATGAGCAGGCCGATGGATTTTCTGGGCATGCTCACAGTGAGTCTTTATGCTTATCAAGTCACCGTAACGATAATCGTAATTGTCCCGCTGAAGTTCTGGTCTGATTGAACATTTTGTTTTAAGACCAATATCCTGAGGAACATCTTCACTTTTATACTAAAACTTGCCCTAAAACTATATTTCTGACATTGCAATAAAGAACAGATTGAGAGCAGCAGTGAAAAGCAGTTCCCAAAAATTCAGTAAAGAAATGCAGATGAGGACATAAACAGCCCATTTTCTTTTTAGCTGTTAACAGCTGTTAACGTTTGTGAGGACCCTTCTGAATCATAAAATCACAAATGGGACGTCCAACAGTTCCATGGACTCAAGTCCACATCAAGTGAACTTTTTGGGACAGGGCCTTCAAGTCACAAGCATCCTATTGTGAAAAAGAAGTGTGCTTAATTGTATTGAATGTGCACTTGTAGTGAACTTCAGTATATTTTACAAAACTGTACTTTCAGATACTATTATATTAATGAAATAAAAGGCCACTTAAAGAGTGACACTTTCATGACTGTTCTTAAGTAGACTATTAAAAAGTGCACTTTGTAATAATGTCAAATTAAAAGATTTACTTTAAAGTACATATTCAATTATTACATTCAATATTTAGTTTTGCTTTAAAGTGCACTTATTTTGATGTGTTGACTAACATACTAAAGCACAAGTAAAGTACTTGTGATTTACTTTAAATCACAATTTTAACTGTAGTGTGTTATTTGATATCACATTTAAGGACAATATATTTTAAATGTTCTAAATTGCAACTTCATCATTACAAACGTGTAATTACAAATATATTTAAATGTAAGTTTCAATAGAAATTACATTAATTTGTTTACATGTGTACATGTACTGTGTATATTTATTATGTATATATAAATACACACACATACAGTATATATTTTGAAAATATTTACATGTATTTACATGTCTATATTTATATTCATATAATTTATATTATAAATAAATATATTTAATATATAAAATAACATAAATATATATATATAAAATATATACATGCATGTGTGTGTATTTATATATACAAAATAAATATACACATAACACACACATATATTATGCAAACAAAAACTTTTATTTTTGATGCGATTAATCGCAATTAATTGTTTGACAGCACTAATTAAAATATGTCACATGTAAACTTTCATGACTATGTTTATTAACACACTTAATTACACTTTGTGTAATGATATCAAGTTAAAAGTGTTATTTTAAAATAGATTTTAAATTATTTTAATAATCTTTTGTCATCCTTTAAAGAAGTACACTTATTTAGATGTGTTGACTAACATACTAAAGCACATTCAAGCACTTAATTATAATGTACGTATTTGATATTACATTTAAAGTTAATCTATTTTAAATGTACTAATTGCATCTTCAGTTCTACAAGTGTGCAATTACAAATGTGTTTAAGTACATGACATACAAGTTTCAATAGAAATGACATTAAAGTACTGTATATTTTAGTTCACCATGCATGCTTGTCAGTATGCTTGTCAACTTTAACCATATATTTTATATACAACAGCATTAATTATGAAATTACATATAGGCCCGGTTTCACAGACGGGGCTTTGCTTAAGCCTGGACTAGGCTTTAGTTAAATTAAGATATTTAAGCAGCTTTTATAAAAAATGCCTTAGAAGAAAACGTTGCAGGTGTGCATCTTGAGACAGAACAATGTCACTGACATATTTTAAGATATGTCAGAGCAAGATATTTTTAGTTGAAACAGCTCAAACATGCATTTAGTCTAGGACTATCCTTAAGACTTGTCTGTGAAACCAGGGGATAAAGATGAATTTAAATCCCACTTAAGTGGGTCAAAAATGCATTTAGTATAAATTTAAACTACAATACATTTTAATTTAGTTGTAAGTACCATGCATCTAAGAGTCTGAAAATGTTACATTTAGTTCACAATTAAGCATACTTAATTTTCACCAGTCTCTCTGATGCTTACCTTGTCTAGTTGGAAGTGGTCGGGCTGTAGCCGGTACAGGAGGAGGTCTGACGGGAGATATTGGCTGTCTGTTAACCGAAGGCCGGCTGGTTTGCGTCCGTACAACAGCTGTACACAATCAGACTGAATCACACACACGTACACCAGTGAGTTTTAATAAATAACCTAATGAGAAACGCTGCGGCTCACGTGTGTTCACTCTGGCCGGCTGGCTGGGAGCGGACGGACGGATGCTGGAAGGCTGCTGAGGTCTGGCGTTTGTGGTTTGAGAGCCGCCGCTCGTTGACAGGTTTGGTTTTGGTTGAGTTATGATGATAACCGAGCCGGCCTGTGAACCCGCGTCAGGTTGCTGTGGTCTCGCAGGACTCTGCTGGACTCGGATGGTCTGCGTGTTGGTCGGTGAATATGGCGCTTGCTGGATTCGGGTTGACTGTGAGATTGTGGAGTGAGTCCTGGAGCCTTCAGGTTGGGATGCTATGTCTTGGGTGGATGCACGGACATTTTCGGACACCAAAGGCGGTCCGCCGGTGTCAAGCATCTCAGCTAGCCTCTGGTTAAACTTGACAGGCGAAGCCGAATAATGGTAACCCGGTCCAGCAGGACAGATCTCTTTGAAGGCGGCTGTGAACATAGAGTTAGATGCTGAAAACCTGTAAATGTCCAATGGAGTCACAAGTGTTGTTTCAGAAATTTCAAGTTCAACCGGGACAACAGGAGAACTTCAACTTGTGTTATTTAAACAAAGACAGACAATCTACACAGCAAATTCCATGCACTTTACATGTGCTTTAGTATGTTAATCAACACATTTAATAAGTGCACTTCTTTAAAGCATGACAAAATATTATGAAAACATTAATAGTTTAAAATGTACTTTAAAGTAAAAATTGTGTGCACTTTTTAAAAGTCTACTTAAGTGTGTTAAGAAACAAATGTGTTTCATGAAAGTGTCTCTCTTTAAGCACACCTAAGTTATTTCGCTAATATCATATCTGCAAGAACAGTTTTTAAAATTATACTTTTAAGATTTAAGAAGAATGCGCATTTAATACAATTAAGCAACCTTCTTTTTTATAAGGGACATTTATAATTGTTATTTACATTTACATACGTTAAAGCCATTTCTATTTAAACTTGCAATATTTATATTTGTAAGTAGCAATTACACATTTGTAATGATGAAGTTGCAATTTATTACATTTAAAATATATTTTACTTTAAATGTAATATTAAATAACACTACAGTTAAAATTCTAATCAAGTACTTTACATGTGTTTTAGTATGTTAGTCAATGCATGAAAATACGTGTACTTCTTCAAAGCATGGCAAACAATTATTAAACAGGATAATTTTAAATGTACTTCAAAGTAAATAAAATTATTTGACATTATTACTAAGTGCCTTTTGAAAGTGTACTTAAGTGTGTTGAGGAATAAAGTCAGTGTCTTTTTTAAAGTCACTTCAATGGCCTTTTATTTCATTAATATTATATTATCTGCAAGTACAGTGTTTTAAAATATACTTTTAAAATTTGAAGTATACACTACAAGTGCACATCCAGTACAATAAAGCGCACTACTTGTTCACAAGGGTGAAATAGCTTTGTGTGAGATCAAAATTTAAGACATAATTCACTGGAATGGACACAGTTGATTTTTGTTTTTTAATCGAGCCAGAAAAGTTGAGGGTCAACCGGGACAGCGCTAGAACCTCAACTTGTGGTATTTAAACTAAGACAAATTACACAGTAAATTCCAACTGCTTTGATATTCCTCCAAACATTTTCTGAGAAATATTGCTGGTGGTGTGGGTGGGACGAGGTCCTTGAGGAACAGTTGGACTCTTTGTGCAAAAACCAAATCATGTTGTTTCAATATTCTGTATTAACACACTGTAATGTTCTCAGTGCTGTCCTCCAGCCTTCTTACCGCTCTTTGTCCCAACTTCTGCATTAAAGATGTTCATTCCAATGCAGTTGTTTGAAAGGAGAAGTGCATTCTTTGAATGTCTGTAAGGCCTCTTACCTGAGCCGAAGTACGGGCATAACTCACACTCCTTCCCCCAGGCTTTGCCCACTCGACTGCAGCAGCAGATCTGTTTGGTGATGTTCTTCAGGATGGGCAGAGAACAGGAGCCCTGGTTCAGGATACGGAAACACTGGTCCTTCTCCGAGGAGATCACCTTCTGTGCTGCGAGGGGGAAAATAATATAAAATAACATTACATAGGGATACAGGTATGGACACGAATCTCAACATGCAACAGATCGTGCATGCAAGTACAAATGCATTCATTTATGAACATGAAAGCATATAGATGAGTCTTCATATTTACTGCTGTCTTAAAAAGGGACAGTTCACGCAAAAATGTCAATTCTGTCATCATTTCCTCTCCCTCGTGTCGTTTGAAACCTTTATGACTTTCATTCTTTTGTGGAACACAAAAGCAGGAGTTTAGAGGAATGATCATGCTGCTCTTATCCATACAATAAAAGCATACAGTAACCATAAAGGTATCAATAAAATCAGTCTATACAACTTTAAATCTTAAGTCTCCAGCCATACCCTTGTGGAAAAGAAATACATTTTAGCATACTTTTAAAAAAAGAGTACTTGTTACAGAAACAATAATACTTTAAAAGAACAGACTTAAGTGTGAACTGAATCTAATGTTTACAAACACTTCATTGCATGTTATTTACAAAGGAAAATTATATTAAATGTAATTGTGTGTATACACATTTACATTTAATACAATTTTAATTTAATTGTAAATAATACAAAATAAATAAAAAAATCATATAATTTAAAATAGTTTTTATTTTATTTTTATTTTCAATTAAGAATTTTCAATAAAGACGATTATATTTTTCAAGTGTAGTTGAACTTACAGTAAGAGTGCTTTTTCGACCCATTTAATTGGACTTTAAGTACATTTTTTTTTAAAGATTATTAAAACATAATGATTTATAATGTACTTGACAGTAAAACTTTTAATTTGGCATTTTTAAACCTTTTAAAATGCACTTACGTATGTTAATAAACAGTCATGAAAGTGTTTTTTCATATTTTTTGCAAATGCTTTTTTTTTTTTTTATATCAATTCAATCTAATTAAACACACTTATTTTCCTACAAGGGTAATTATAGCTTTAAACATTTAAGACATCATTCACTGAAATTTTACTTTTAAACAAACAAATAAAATTGTGCTGAGGGAACGTTTTTAATGAAAAACATCTTAAATTTTGGCCTGCTCATTACACAAAGTTATTGTATGGCCTACAATATAGTGCACAACTTTTAATGGTGTTTTTTCTTTGGAGCTTGGCAGTATTAATCACTAAAAAGAGCAGCTTGGACATTCTGCAAAACATCTCTGTTTGTGTTCCACAGAAGAAAGACAATCATACGGGTTTGAAACAACACGAGTACATGATTTCTTTTTTGGTGAACTATTCCTTTAAGTTGGTTGTGTTTGTTATAGACGTCATACTTACGCAAATCTAGCTTAAAAAAGTTCTAAAGTGATAAATAGTTCTGCTACTCATTTTACACTGACATCATTCGTTACACTCTTGGCGCTTTGATTTGGTTTTGCAGCACAAACAAAGTTTAAAGGAGAGCCAGGCATACAATAATCATCCACAGAGCCACTGGAAATGACATACAGATCAGCCCAAATCACTGCAGGAATATGCACATAATCACACATATACAGAAGCAGACACAGCAGGAGACGTAGTTACACCTACCTGACTGACACACATGAAAATGCTCAGAGTCACATGAAGTCTTGACAAGATTCAGACAAGAAGAAAATCTGATTAAAATAGAGTCACAGAATTTCCCAGATGCAAAAACTCAGGCAGAAAGAGGCAGCTCCCAATCGACGGGGAAACACAGGAAAACACTGAGCGATCAGTCAGGACAGGCCTCGATGTAGGGATGCATATGCAGAGTCAGGACAAAGGGAAAAGTATAGCTCCACTCATCAGGCATCTCTCAAGCAGAGCACAGTAATGCCTGCTGGAATAGACAGAAGCACAACGCCACACAGCCAAAAACCTCCACTCATCTGTGTGCACTTTGTAGTGTGGATTTGAAACTCATGCTTTGGTATAGTACCTGAAAATGCTCACCTCAGACCATCCAAGATACAAATGAGTTTGTTTCTTCATCAGATTTGGAGAAATGCAACTCGCTCACCAATGGATGCTCTGCAGTGAATGGGTGCCGTCAGAATGAGAGTCCAAACAGCTGTTAAAAACATCACAATAATCCACGAGTAATCCACACCACTCCAGTCCATCAGTTAATATCTTGTGAAGCCAAAAGCTGCATGTTTGTAAGAAACATTTAGTCATTTAGCAGACGCTTTTATTCAAAGAGACTTAAAAATGAGGACAATAGAAGCAATCAAAACCAACAAAAGAGAATAATAAGCAAGTACTATGACAAGTCTCGGTTAGCCTAACACAGTACACGTAGCAAAGGTTTTATATATATATATATATATATATATATATATATATATATTCAGGAAGTGTTGTTATGGATTATAAACTCGTATTTTGGCAAGAAGCAATGGTTTAAAGTTAAAAACGTCTTAAAGATGGATTTGTTTTTTTACAAACACACAGCTTTTCACTTCACAAGACATTAACTGATGGTTAATGCTGGATTTGTTTCATCTTTTGTCTTCTCCAGATGTTAACTGATGGACTGGAGTGCTGTGGATTACTTGTGGATTATTGTGATGTTTTTATCAGCTGTTTGGACTCTCATTCTGACGGCACCCATTCACTGCAGAGCATCCATTGCTGAGACACTGATGCAATGCTACATTTCTACAAATCTGATGAAGAAACAAACTCATCTACATCTTAGGCCTCGTTTACACTGCAGGTCTTGATGCCCAATTCTGATTTGTTGCCTATATCCGATTTTTTTTTGACCGTCCGTTTACACGTTCTTTCAGTTGTGACCCGTATTCGATTCAAATGTTTACACTTACGCTTAAAGGGGGGTTCTTGCACCACACACCAGCCAAAATGGACAAACGTGAAATATGCTTGATGCTAGCTTTGCGATATATGCATAGACTGTAAAAAACAAATACATATGCAAAGTTCTCCTGCGTTGTTGTCATTTACTGCCTCCACACATGCTTCCTCCTGAGAATAATATGTTAAAATTATTAAAAGAATAAAATTGTCGCAGTTTTAATGATGTACAGAATGCAATGCCACAGAAATTCCGTTCTGCCTGTTTACATGACAGTCGCATTGGCACATATCAGATTTATTTCCACATGAATGAGGCCTGAAACTCATCTTGAAATATCCAAATGCATGCATTTTTTTTCCTGTTTACATGGTCATAGAACACATCCGATCTGTCACATACGAGCAAAAAAATCGGAATTGGGTCACATTTAACTGACAGTGTAAACAAGGCGCAGATGTCCTGAGGGTGAGCGCATTTTTGGCAAATTTCCATTTTTGGGAGAATTATTTCTTTACGTCTGTGTATGACTGAAGGCTGTAGCTGTGTGGTTTGGCTGTCCTGCCATATTCCCGCCGCCGCTCTCCTCTCAGGTGACGCCGTGGTGTCCGACAGCCCCGTACTTACAGATGCAGATCCCATGAGAGGCGTCCAATAAGTAGCCCTCTTTGCAGACACAACTGTAGCTCCCTCGGGTGTTAACACAGTTCCCGTTTTCACAGAAACCCGGCTGCAAACACTCGTTAATATCTACACCAGAGGAGGAAACATGACTGTCATAACCTGACGAGTTGGATTGTTCACGCTGTGAAAAAGTAGTGTGCTTAACACACTTCTTAACACACTTAAGTAGACTTGGATGGATAACTGAGACTGATTGTGAGTGAAGAAGCACCCGTCCAGACAAACAGGTGAACCGGTAGCTTGCAGACATGTAAAAGTGCAGCTCGCTTTCAATAAAATATATTTTTTCCGGAAAGTTACAGTATATTTATACAGTACAATAATGATCAAGAAAACGTGATTCCGCATGATACACTCTTAAAAATAAAGCTTCCAAAAGGACCATTGAAGAACATTTCAGTGAACAGTTCTTAAAAGAACTTTCTTAGTGTGAAGAACATTTTAATAATTTAAAGCACCTTTTGTCCAGTGGAAAGGTTCCATGGATGTTAAAGGTTGTCCATCAATGCCAATAGAGGACTTTTAATTTGAAGAGTGTACATGCATGTACAAACTTTTCAGTACTTACATAAGGATACCTTGCACTGTGTTGTACAATGTTATTACCTCAAATGTAGCAAATACAGGAACCATTAATGTTACATAATGACAGAATTAATCTGTGGTTTGTAGCGGAGAGAGAGATATGTAACAAATCTGAAGTTGTCATTATTTGACCCTGTGACCACCTCCAGCTCTGTCTTGATAAATTGCTTTTACAGTGTGTTTATCAAGCTATCTGGTCTGCCGTTACGGTCAGGAGAAAGATTAGAAAACAATGCCGTAGATTCCCCCGAGAAGGTGGTCTCTGGATTTCACACATACTGACAAATTGTGAAAGATTAATTCCGTCATAATTACTACCATGTGAGAAAACCTGGAGTTAACAGCTATGTAAGGCATTTTTTTTCTCCTTTAAATTTAGCTCCTCAGTATGTATTTCAAAAGCCAAACCGAAGCATACATGATATGTGCCAAACTGTAATTCAAATAACTCCATGGTAGTCAAAATATGCGAATAAATAAATTCAAAAATAACATAAAAAATAAATAATGAAATTTTAAAGAATAAATAAAAATAAAATAATATTCAATAAATAAACAAACATATCATAAATATATTTGAACTATGAAATTATGCTTTAATAAAGTTATAAAATTTTAATTATATTATAATTTAAAAATTATATTTTAATTTTCTATAAATTATAATACATGCATTATGAAAGTATTCATTCAATTTCTATTCCCATTTTGGGATTTAGATCTCCAATAGATAAAATAGTCTCGTCTCACATTTCACTCAGAATTATGGCACATTACGGAAATAAAATGGGTTATAAATGCAAACTTCAACCCTCTTCTCAATGCGGATTGTGCTGTGTTAGTCACTTTGAATAAAACGATCAATTAAATGTCTACTTATCACATCGGCTCCACAGCATTAAAGCAGCATGAACTACACAACGAGCGAGACTGAGAAGAGCATCTGCTTCAGTTTCAGTATTTACACAAAACTAGATGTGTGCAGCAACCATTAAACCGTCTTTAGAGACTGATGTATTTGGCTGACCTCTGGAGGAAGGAAGGAAGAACAAAGTGTTTGTTTGCATGTTCCTAAAATGTGTTTTGGCCGGCGAGAGATCACTGTGAACGCTAGGATCAATCTAGCACAGGAGGACGGGGCGAGGACTCTTACCCACACACTGCGTCCCGTTGACCCTCTCGAAGCCTTTCGGGCAGCTTCCCTGTCCATTAACAGTGTTTCCTGATGAGATAAGAGCACATTGATCTCTAGCAAGACGTACGGACACATCTGTCAAACTGCAGCTAGTTTAATAATGTGTGCAAAAGGAAAATCAAACCGAGAAAGAGGAAAAACATGCAGATAATTAACAAGTGATTCATCAGCAAGACTGGAGGCTGAAACAAATACAATAACACAAAATATCCCGACACTATATTTCATTAAAGCCACATTCTGGCTTTGTACTCACATGTGAGAATATGTAGCTTATGTGCATGCATATACTGTATATAACTTAATGTATAGGTTTACAGTTTAAATACAGAGGGATTTGTTTATTTATACGGCAACCCTTGAGAAAAAAGAAGTACACTTTTAAACTGTAATGAACGTGAAGTTTTTAGACACTTAATTGCATGGTATTTACAATTACATGAAAATATAATTTGCATTTATATTTTAATTGAATTTAAGAGTGTTTTCTGACCCACTTAAGTAGGACTTCAGTACATCTTTATATGTAATTTCATTTCAATTTGAAAAAAACTTTTTGTTAAAAATTACTGCTGAATGTCCTGCATTTATAGTAAACCAAAAATACTTTAATGTAATTTCTCTTGAAACTTGTATGTCATATATTTAAATATATTTGTAATTACACACTTGCAATTTATTACATTTAAAATACATTAACTTTAAATGTGATATTATTTGACACACTATAGTTACAATTATTACACTTAAAATGTGCTTTAGTATGTCAGTCAACAAGTGCATACTTCCTTAAAACACGACAAAAGATTATTAAAACAATTTAAAATGTACTTTAAAGGAAAACTTTTAATTTGGCATTATTACAAAGTGCACTTTTTAAAAGACTGTTAAGAAACAGCCATAAAAGTGTCTCTCATTAAGTCACTTAAGTGGCCTTTTATTTCATTAAAGGCAGAGTAAGTGATTTCTGGTAGCCAATGTTGATATTTGAAATCACCAAAACAAACACGCCCCTACCCCAAAAGGGTCTTGCCCCTATTTTGATAGCTCCGCCCCACATATATGTACGCAACCCAGGCAACGATTAGTTCTGTGAAACAAAGCAAAACCAATGTTACACCGTGTCTACGGACGTGAGCGGCGCGGAGCAACAAATCCCCGACAGAAAACTGCTGCCGGGTTCTATTTATGACGTGCTGACACAAATTTCAAATGGTTTTCAACGGTCGTTTGATCGCGTCCAGTGTAGGCAGACTTTAGCTGTTGTAGACACGGTGTCACTCACCTATTGAGAAGAAACAAAGCAACCTCGGCGTCCGATCACAGGCCTCCGCTCCTTGAGTTCTCTCCAGCGCTGGAAAGCTGATCCGATATTTACACGGATCCTACTTCTTGCCTTATCGTTCCGCAGACGGTTTCCTCTTTTGTTTTTTATCCGCCATCTCTATCTCTCTGTCGCCCGGCTCGGCTAATGTCCGTCCCATGCACTGAAAGCTCTCTCCTCCACATCACGAGTAGACACGCCCCAGATCAACAAAAATATAATATTATATCAACGATACTAAAATAGCACTGATCAACTGCATTATTAATAAATGCTTTTCTCTATAAAAACCCTCTTAAATGTGATTTTTTTTCCTAGTTACAATATCATCATATTTACTGTATTTACTTATTTATCCAACAGCTATTAGAAAAAATATGTCAGGTCTAGGGAGGATGTCACATTTTTATTGCGGAAAGTTGTTATAATTTTATGTAATTATTAACTCCCATTTTACAATTGCAATTACAGACAGTTTGATAATTGTGCATCTTTTTTTTTTTTATTTCTGTTCCATGAATTGTTCCATTAAATGTGTTTCATAGTTATATGAATGGATATATATATAGTTAAATTGTTGTTATATGCTAATTTTGCTATGCATACTGTATACTCTCATTGTGACAACTTACCCCACAGTGTTACAAAAAACTGCATGATAAAGACTGCATGTTTTGATCTGCATTAACATCTCAAAAAACCTGAGATCATTTCTGGGTAAACTATCCTTTTAAATTGTAATCCATTCCTCAAATAAAGCTTTTGCATATTGCATATCCCATTGTGACAACTTACCCCATATACAGCAGTATAACAAAATGTATGTTTTGCATGCTTTGTATCTGCATTAATTTCTCCAAAAAATCATGGGTTATGTCATTGCATGTCACTATATTTAATAAATGATAGGGGTGCTGAAGTCAGTTTCTATTAAAGGTTGCAGCATTCATCAAGTGGATGAGGAATGTAAATATGTTGTAATGTTTAGCCAGACGGCTGACGGAGGGCTAATGGCGACACCTTGACTGTTGTAATAATAATATAGTAACAGGACTTAAATGAGCCGTCTGCCAGAGAACTCTCAAAGCTATATTTATCTCCTGAAATCACGCAGCGACTGCAGTACTTTCTGTTTTACCAGCCAGCTGAACTGATATCAGTGAATTTATGAGTTAAGAAGGAACAAACCGGTGTTTTGTTGCCTCTTTGTGCTCTAAGTACAAACTGTGCAGCTATAATCGCTCAGATGATTTATAGTTGTAACCCTCCAGGCCTGTCTGACAGTGCTGACATACTCCATGTGCAGACTCTCACCTAAGACTGCGGGACAGAGCGTGCATTCGTTGATGCCCCAGGCCTTCCCAACACCCCTGCAGCACATCTCCTGACTCCTCAGACCAGGCAACGGAGAACTGCACTGTGGGGCGGAGCAGAAAACACACAATCCTTCACTTATCCATTCACTCAAACAACTGAATTGGGCATGGAGTGAAGAGCTAAAGGATAAGTCCACATCCAGGATAAAAAAATAAATCATCCAATGTCATCCAAGATGTTCACGTCTTTCTTTCTTCAGTCGCAAAGAAATTAAGTTTTTTTTTAAAGAGGAAAACATTCCAGGACTTTTCTCCATATAGTGGACTTCAATGGTGGCCAACGATTTTAACGTCAAAATGCAGCTTCAAAGAGCTCTACACGATCCCAGCCGAGGAATAAAGGTCTTATCTAGCCAAACGATCTGTCATTTTCTGAAAACAAATAATATTTATACTCTTTTTAACCACAAATGCTCGGCTTGCTCTAGCTCTGCGATGTGCGTCTTCACACATAACGTAATCCTGTTGGAAAGATCATGTACGGTTAGTTCTTCGTCTTTGTACTTTGGTTAAAAACGCCATCTCATTTTCTCCTCCAACTTTAAAATCATCCGACATCATTGTTTTAACTTTTGTTGTAAAGGGCATTTTTTTGCATGTTCACTTTGAAACTGCAATTTGACCTTGAAATCGTAGGCCACCGTTGAAGTCCACTATATGGCGAAAAGTCCTGGAATGTGTGAATCCTGGAAGACATGGGGGTGAGTAAATTATCAGGACAATTTTATTCTGGAACTTATCATTTAAGCAGACACTCACTAATACTCTAATGACTGCTAGATGACATGCAGTTGCAAACAGTGTTGGGGGGTAACACATTACATTACAATGCTCATGTATTCAGATTACTTTTTTCAAGTAACTAGTAAAGTAACGCATTACTTTTATATTTACGAGAAAATACCTGAGGCTTATTCATTTCACTTTCGGTGTGAAGGGGCTTTTACTTTTGCCAAAAACAGAACTTTTCCATTTTAAAAACAAACAAACAAGCAAGCCCAGCCCAGATGAGTGTAAATATGTTGTAATGTTTAGCCAGACGGCTGACGGAGGGCTAATGGCGACACCTTGACTGTTGTAATAATAATATAGTAACAGGACTTAAATGAGCCGTCTGCCAGAGAACTCTCAAAGCTATATTTATCTCCTGAAGTCACGCAGCGACTGCAGTACTTTCTGTTTTACAAGATAGACATGTGTTTTACCAGCCAGCTGAACTGATATCAGTGAATTCATGAGTTAAGAAGGAACAAACCGGTGTTTTGTAGTAATGTAACACATTACTTTCCATAAAAAGTAACTAAGTAATGCATTTAGTTACTTTTAGGGAGCAATGCAGTATTGTAATGCATTACTTTTAAAAGTAACTTTACCCAATACTGGTTGCAAAGTTGCTTGGTGTTAGTAGATTGTCTAAAGTGGACAATCAAAATAAAGTGTAACTAAAACTGTTTCATAATTTACTCATGTTGCTCAAAGCATGTTGACTTTAGCCACTGACTTCCATGCTATTTTTCCCCTATACTATGCAAGTCAATATTGGCTACTGTCAGATGTTTTTTTACTGAAATTATTTAAAATATTGTTTATTTTGTGTCCAACAAAAGGAAACTCATACAGGTTTAGACCAACTTGAGGGTGAGTAAATGATGACAGAATTCTTTTTTGGTGCGAGTATCAGACTTTTCATATAAGAGTACTTCAGAATTTTTAATCTGTGACTTAAAAGTATATTTAAAAAAAAAAAAAATACTTTCAGAAACCATAACATTAATAAAATATAAAATGCCACTTAAGTGCAAAAAGAGACACTTTCATGACTGTTACTCAACACACTTAAGTACATATTTTTTTGTAAAAAAAAGTGCACTTTGTAATAATATCAAATTAAAAGTTTTACTTTAAAGAGCTTTTTAAATGATTGTTTTAATAATCGTTTGTTGTGTTTTAAAGACGTAAACAGTAATTTGATGTGTTGACTAACATACTAAAGCACATGTAACTTTTAACTGTTATTTGATATTAAAATACTTTCAGAAACCATAACATTAATAAAATATAAAATGCCACTTAAGTGCAAAAAGAGACACTTTCATGACTGTTACTCAACACACTTAAGTACATATTTTTTTGTAAAAAAAAGTGCACTTTGTAATAATATCAAATTAAAAGTTTTACTTTAAAGAGCTTTTTAAATTATTGTTTTAATAATCTTTTGTTGTGTTTTAAAGACGTAAACAGTAATTTGATGTGTTGATTAACATACTATAAAGCACATGTAACTTTTAACTGTTATTTGATATTACATTTTAAAGTTAATATATTTTAAATGTTCTAATCTGCAACTTCATCATTACACACGTATTTACATTCACATTAAAAATGCATTTAAAGTATATTTTAGTTTACCATAAATTCTTGTGAGTACATTAACCATTAACTAACCATATTTCAAAGACAATAGAAATAATTATGAAATTACATATACTACTTAAGTGTCAAAAAAGCCCTCTTGCATTTAATATAAATTTAAATTACACATTTTTATTTAATTGTAAATAACATGCAATTAAATGTCTGAAAACACTGAATATAGTTAATGACTTTTTAGTATATTCGTAAAGTATATCATTTCCATAAGTACTCTTTTTAAAAGTAAAGTGTACTTCTTTATCACAAGGGTGATGTGCTACTTTTTTGTTCCTTTTGGGGAGCTTGACCGTCTCTGGTCTTCATCCCCTTTTGTTGTATGGAAAACAGCAGCCTTGTCATTATGTTGAATTACTACTATTGTGTTCCATAGAAAAAAATGCATATTTCCAGCAACATGCATTTGAACAAATGACGAATTGTGCTATAATAAGAGTACTCTGGCTAACCAATCTTGGATGAACACACTTCAGCAGACGGAAGTGGTTTTCACGACACTGGCTAACCTACATTTGAAGTTCAGCACGATCACATGACAGAGTCACAATAAACAAGTCATACTCGATTCATCCAGCATAGTCCAGACAAGCTCGAGTCCTGATCCTACTAGAACCGAACCAGACGCTCTACTGCTAAAACGAATGAGGAATGCAGACAGAAGAGCTTTAAGCTAACCTTTCCGTTGCGCACTTCTCTGAAGCAGTATTTGAAGCCGGACGTCTCGGTGTAGACTGAATCCCCGCGTATGGTCTGGGCTTGAACCCTCGGCGGCGCTGCCGCCTCGGCTCTCTCTCCCGGCAGCTGGTGAGGACGGGCCCCTGAGAGCCCCGCGGACCAGGTCACGGTTTCTGAGTGCTCGTGGACGGTGGGGCCGTAGCCCACCTTTAAGACCTGGTGGATCTTCACACTGGCCTCTGGAGGATGCTGGACTCGCACCTTCACCATCGGGGACGCTGACAGACAGAGACACCGGATCAGACACAGAAACACACTGAAGAAATCAAGAGTTCTTCCAGAACATACTCTCTAACTACATGTGTGCACTAACAATATCCAACAGTGTGTAGACATACATGGCTAGTTTACTCATTTTTTTCGTGAAAATAATGAGAATTCCCACCACAGTGTCATATGCAATTTGATGTTAAATTATTTAAACGACGTACTGTGTTTATTAGCAAAATTACAATTTGTGGACAATTTATGACAATTTAAAGAGATTTGGAATAAAATTGCAGACTCCTTTTTCTCGCTGAAGCTCATAACCAGCATTTTATGCATCCTAAATGCACACAATTAAATAACATTTTCACACTTTCATTAGAAATGATGCTCAATAAAAACATTGTGTTCACACATAACATGACTCACATTTCATTCAAGCAGCTCCTTATTGACACTGTTGTCTGCATGATAATAAGTACACTAACTGTTTATTTATTAGTACAATTTAAAAAAATATTATTTCTAAGTTATAATGAAACAAAGATTACTGGACTGTTTTACAATGTCTTCACAATTTCATGTTTAATTCAATGTGTTACTTGCCATTTTTTTGTAATTATTTGCAAAATGTATGTGCAATTTCTGAATGAATATATATATATATTTTTTTTTTTTGTAGTGTAACCATTGCAATAAAAATTATGTCACAACTGTGGGTTGCAGTTTATGTGAAAAATAATAGAAAGCACTTAATAAATAATCAACAACAATAATAATAAATACTAAAATGAATAAATCATTCTTTGTTTTAAAAATGCAATAATTTATATTTTTTATGGTGGGTTTTCATAATTTAGAATGAAAGTCTGGATCTGGGACACGAGCAACACAATACACTACATTCATTATTCTTTATAATTAAGCTGTATGCCACAACTAGTTATGGGGGATAGATAGATAGATAGATAGATAGATAGATAGATAGATGATAAATACATAAATAAATACACATTTAATAATAATAATTTGTTAATTATTGTTAATTCGTTTTTTATAAATTTTATTTTTTATTTTTATTATAATTATATTTTATAAATTATGGTTTGGTTGTTTACTATATAAAATAAAATAAAATAAAATAAAACCTGTTCAGCAGCAGGTGAGGGGCATTTGAAGAGCAAATATAAATGAATAATAATAATGGCACGGTAAAAATGTTCCAAGACAGTTTTAATCCCACACAGCATGCTTGTAAACATCACAAAGAGCCTTTACGGTCACTGCTAACACGCATTAATGAATATCCGGCCCTCTGGCATCACAGGTCATGTTCTGACTCTATGCACTGAACCCTAGTCCTGCAAATAACACTAAATCACTCTCACATACTCAGGACGGAGCAAAAGAAAAAGCAAGATTAATGTGTTTACTGTTTCTCACATAAATAGACCGATGCTCCAGAAATAACAGAGAGAGAAAGAGAAAGATATAGAGAGCATCCGAGTTCGGATCTCTGCATACAGAAGACTCATTCTCCTGAAGTGTGTTCGAGCTGTGAGTCACCATTACCTTCTGCCTCTCACAAACTAAACCTGGCAAAACCAGAGAAACCCCTCCTCGCCAAACAGGCGCTAAATACAATGTCGGCGCTTTCCAGTCCTCTGTGTTTTATAAAAGATGATTTGAGGTCTAAAGACAATATGAAAACGGCTCTGTGATAATAAAGGCCTAGAAAAGACAGGCACAACATGGGCCTTATTTGTTTGGACGAACATCCCTGCAACCCCATCTGGGAACACCAGGTTCAGTTTGGGATTCAGATTGTTACACAACAGTGCAGACGGTGTTTAGTGCTCATAACCCCGATCCAAGTCACCACTTGCACAATATGAGTGCTTTTTAGTTTGAAAGCTGGAGGGTTTACTGGCACCTTGCACTGAAAATAATACAAGTAGTGTAGCATTAAAAAAGTGTAGCATTTCCACTAAGAGGTTTAAGCCGGTTATTTTTAACTACCATTGCATGGTACATAGTAATATATATATATATATATATATATATTCTTGTTCTCTTTTTCTGAAACAATGTATTACAATTAAGTGAATTTATGCTTAAAACAAGAATAAATGTACATTTATCTTGATTTAAGAATGTTTAGATATTTTTACTGGAAAAGAGTACTCATTTAGTAACTTATTTTGATTTAAGAATTTTTAGATTAAAAAAAAAAAAAAAGAATTAACTATGGTTCCAACCACGTAAGTTTGCTATGAGGTTTATGAATGTTCGTTGAACTATATTGTAATGAATGAACATAATTAGTTAACAATGCTTTTGGGAAACATATCCCAAAATGTTAATTCATGTTGTGTTGTGTATATGCTTTAGGTCTTAAAAAAGGTCTTAAATTCACGCTTTCAGGTCTTAAATCAGAGCATACTATCTTAAATGTATAACGTCATGGTATTAAATGTTGCATGCACTGCAAAAAAAATATATCTTCCTTAGTATTTTTGTTTTCCAATACTGTATATTGCTTGAATAGCTCTTTTATCTTTAACTGTTTCACACCGCAAAAAAAAAACAAAAACACACTGAGATATTTTGGAAGATGTATTTACAAATATGTATTTACATTTAGAGACATAATGACTTTGTGTTCCATTCAATTTATTCTTTAAACTTCTTAAATTTACCTTTAAAAAACCTGCAGAAGCCCTGCTTAATTTCAGAACTAATGCACATTATTTTAATATCAGTGTCAGCAGTTTTTCAGCAATATAAAAAAAAAACAAATACAAGAGTATATTATAGCTAACATGAATCTAGTGTGATAAAATCACTTTCTATACCATCCAGAACACTTGCTCAATAGACTTCAACTTTAAGCCAAAATTATTGTCTGTGATGACAACACGCCAGAGATGCAATTGATAAATCTCAACCTGGAATATTCCTTCAAAAGTTAAAGCTAAATTAATCTAATCACACATTTCTGACACGTCGCAGGCCAGACTTGTCACCGGTTAGATCAACACATCAGGTCTGAAACTGGAATTGAAATTAAATTCACATTGTCTCTCCTGATCACTTTGTGAGGTTTTGTTGTTGTCGTAGCTTATCAGTTTTGGAGCGATACAGCGGTCGCCTTCGTCTGCTTGTTCATGTGTCTCTCTGCCAAAACCATGAGCTCACCTGACACTCAATGACAGATGGAAACACATTTATCATGACTGCCTGATTAAATAAACCAACTCAGAAAATAAACACGCGGCGTTCCATCAGCAGAGTCTGCGGCATGTCACTGAGCGACGGTTGCCAGATTGAGATTAGGGTTAAATGCCTGTAAGGTCATTTAGGTCAAAGGTCCTGTAAGGGTTTATCTGTAAACACTAGATACACTCGGCTTCTTAGGAATGACGTGAATAAAATACTTGACTAACATCTTCTAAAACATTTTATCATATGCTATACTTTTTAGTAATTGAGGGATTGGTTTAGATTTTTTTTTGTGTGCGAGATTAACGTCAAGTGGGATATTTGGTAGTGTTGAATGGGGATGTAACGATTCACTCAACTCACGATTCGATTTGATTCACGATTTTTTTTCACGATTTAAGACATACATTACGTATTTCATGGCACACTCGTTTTATGCGTATTTGGCGCCACCTATTGTTGTGGGTGTATTATTGACATGTCAAAGTCTAGACCCTGAATATAAGACGACCGCGTTTTTTCAGATGTATTTCCAAGAAAAAAACATCGTCTTATATTCGGGACAATACGGTACTTAGCCTACATGTTTCCCAGAAGACAAAATAAGTTTAATGTACCCTGACTTTCAAATTTAAAAGGTTTTCACCTCCAGGCTTTTATTGCAATGCTCAGTGAGCGTTTGGACCTTCTGTAATAGTTGTGTAGTAAACATAACCCAGAGCAGATTTCAGAGTAAAAACTGTGGACACGGTGGTTTCCCTGACGTCATTCTGCCTCAACAAACCCACACACGAGACACATGATCTATTCAAGCACCACACGCTCACATATTCCAGGTGTAACTGACATCTGCGTGATGCATCAGCCGTGTTTCTGCTTTAATTCCTCACAGGACTCCGATGCTGCCATTTACGGATCACATCCAAATTGAGAGCAGCAGCCAAATGAAAACAGAAAATAAATGTCGCCAGACTGTGACACAGTCATTTTTCACCATCACAAGAGTCTGGATCCGTATGCGGCCATGAGTTACACAACAGACTACAGTGCCAAAACACATATTACCCTCCCTCGATGAGAATCTTAAGCTAATTTGATGTATCCTAACACTGTAAAAGTTTTGATGAAACAGGGTGTGTTTGTAAAATAGGGTCTATTTTTCTAATTTTGCTTAAATTGTTAAAATTTGCTGTACCCTTGTGAAAAAAGATGCACACTTTTAAAAACCATACTTATTACGGAAATAATACACTTTAAAAATATATGATATTTGATATACTTAAAATGCAAACTGAATGTCAAGTTTTTAGACATTTAATTGCATGTTAATTGCAATCAAATCAAAATTAACTATAGTTAAATTTTATACATTTGAATTTTAAATGTATATTACAATGCAATTAGTTTAACTTAAGAATGGTATTTGACCCACTTGCTGTAAGTAGTATTTAAGTGTATTTTAAAATGTAATTTATTGCATTCTATTGTCTAATGTACGTGTATGTCACGTATTTTGAACATATATTTAATTACACATTTGTAATAATGAAGTTGCAATTTAAATACATTTAATAAAATATTATTTAAATCTAATATTGAATAACACACTAGTTAAAATGATAATAAAGTACTTTACATGCGTTTTAGTATGGTTGTCAACACATCAAAATAAGTGTACTTCTTTAAAACTTGACAAAAGATTATGAATATTTAAATATAAAACATTATCTAAAGTAAAACTTTTTAAAACTCTACTTAAGAAACAGTCATGAAAGTAGTGCATGCTCTCTTCAAGTACACTTAAGTGGCGTTTTATTTAACTAACATTATATTAATTGCTGTTTTTGTACTTTTGAGATTTGAAGCACACTTCTTTTTCACAAGGTCAAAACCATTTCACATGCTTCAAAATATTTGAAATGCCGATATGTTGTTGAAATGTCTTTTAACTTCAGGTAGAACTTAAAAAGCGCAATTCAAATAGTATTTAAAACTATTTCTCTCAGACTGACATGACTGAACATCATTGTGTGACAACATGCCCCTCCATAAATCAACATGCGTTAAATGAACTGTGCTTTTTGCAAAGACCTCAAAAAAAAAAAAGCGAATCCGCCGTAAGAAATATTTACTGAAAAACACAGATCCTCTCACCATTGGTGTTGATCTGCTCAGGCGTCTGCAGAGGCAGTATGTACTCAGACGTCATCGGCTGATTGGCTGAATCCACAGCACTCGTCGACGGTCTCTCGATGTGATTGGTGGAGACGGGGATGTGGCAGAACTTCCCAGTAAAGTTGGGCGGGCAGAGACATTGATCCTTCTGTACGCACACTCCTCCGTTCTTACACAACATCGGACACACGACTGACGGGAGAAAAAACAGAGAAAGTGAGTTAAAATCACAGAGAATCAGAGCAAATCCCTGATGAACGACTTCATCCATCACTCATCAACTTTATACAATTATGCAATTATTGCTCTAAAAACCACAACAGCTCAATAAGGTTCTGATGAAAGACACAGAACACAGTCATCACTGTCTTTGAATGGATGCTGTTAACAACCAAGTTATGAGTCTTGGTTTAGTGCCTCTCAAAATAGAAAGTTTCTATAAAAAGCAACTCTTTTTTTGTCGTATTTCTTTTATGTCATTATTGGCCTCGGCATGCCTTCTATATCACATGTCTGAGATGTATTAATACGTTTGGAAAGCTTGGACCAAGCCCATGCCTAAAAAAATGAAGATAAATGTAGCATGTGTGTGTGTGAGAGAGAGAGAGAGAGAGAGAGAGAGAGAGAGAGAGGGTTTCTTGGTTGTTTTTGCAGTATTCATCTGCAATCGCTCTAGCATGATCTCTAGATCCAAACACATCTGTCAAACAAACCCCATGTAGAAAGAGCTCCATACAACAACATAAACAACTCAGAAAACAAGCCCTTGAGAAAGAACAATCAGACAGAACAAGGCTAAATCTAATCTTCGACATAAAATCAAATCACAGTAGTGTTCTTTCATAACGATTCATCAAAACTTTCCAGCTGGCGTCACCAGTAAGTATTCATTTTCTGCTCCTCCAATCCGAAAACTCAACAGGTTTTGTTGACCACATCTTTGATTCGAGGTTTAAAATCTAATTTAATCCTGGAAATAAAGAGGAGGTTTTAGGGATTTGATAAAAAATGTAAATCAAATTATTGAAAATTAATTTCTAGGCCACTAATCAAATTTGACACTGACCATGTTAACTCTTTGTAGAAAAGTTTTGGTTCTTGCTTTTTTTTTTCAAATTATGCTGGCTAATACTAATAAACTCAAAGTCAAACTAAAAAATAGCAACATCTAAATTAACTGGTTTTATTCGTCAAAAATTGTATTTACCTTCCATAAAACCAACCTGTACAGATCAACTGATGCCAAGAAAACTAATTCTTATGGGTTAAATAATGTAGAAATGTAACAATTGCAGGATACATTTTTTTTTTTTAATATATTAAACTCAAATTACTCTGATGATATGATGGTTATTGTAAATTTGATGACATTTTAACAATAAATAGAGTATCAGAGTATTAAATAAAATTATAGTATTAAATAATTTATTAAGAATTACTTATAATATAATATAATATAATATAATATAATATAATATAATACTATTAAGTAAAATAATTACATTATTAAATATTAATTAAAATACAATTACAATATTAAATTAAATATATTAATAAATAAACAAGAGTCTAAAGTTTCCGTAAACCTAAATGTAAAATAATAATAATAATAAAATAAATAAATAAAAAACAACAGACAAAAATTTTCACTAGTGGTCTCAGATTTTAGATTCAACTGTTTGTCCTATTACCGATGTAAAATTTCTGCTTTTACTTGAAGTCAACCCAGTTTGCAATCTACATTATTTATTGACCTCAAATAAGTGCAGAATATATTTCTGGATCTTATCTAACAGAGTTGGTGGTAAAATGGTACAGACGCCATTATGAAGCATGTTTATCAAGGAAGTAAAGTGCTTTTTCTAATTCAAATATTTACTAAAACGAAGCAAGAAAAACAGCACAATGTTAGGAAACGTTGTAATAGGAATGCAATTCACTGAGAAGATGACAAACATGATATTATCTTTTTTTGTTCTTTAAAGTAAACACACACAAACAGCAAGGAGACGGTTAAGATCTGCCGTCTTTGGCTGACCCATTTCCTCCCAGCTGTCGCTGACAAGAGTTTGTGTGTGGGAGATGAGAGAAATCTGAGCAGTTTCATTTTGGGACTTAAAGACGCTGAGGTCACCCAACCAATTATATTCAGTTAGATGAGATTTACCTTGCTTCCTTGACACACACACACACACACCTCTACTAGCCAGGGTTTAGCGGAAGCTGAACAGTATCCAAACTCCACAGGTATCCATCATTTTTATGGCAGGGTTCAGTGCCGGGTCAGCATTGATTCTCTGCTGTATGCATGCACATCGTTTTAAAACCTATTTGTGGTAGTATTTTATAATTCCTAGAAAACATATAAACATCAAACTAGAGGCTAAAGTTTGCGAACAAACTTTGATGTTGGTTTGAGAAAGCCTGATTGGACAGCCTGAGTCAAAAGTGCCAAATCACATATCACTTTGGAGTTCTGGAGCTGGAAAATGGTTTATTCACAGTGCCATGTGGTTGCTAGGGTCCTTTATATGGTTGCTAGGGCATGGCTAGACAATTGCCAGGGTGATACCTGAAGCCTGCTAACAGTCTGAGTCAAAAGAGCCAACTAACAAATGTTTTTTTTTTTTTTCTATGCAGAGATATAGCTTATTCGTTGTACTATATGGTTGCTAGGGTCCTCCTCTAAATGGTTGCTAGGGTGTGGCTAGGCAGTTGGTATGGTTATCACAACTTTAATAGAACGTTGTAAGAAATGTTATTGTAACCTTTAAATGATGTTCAATTCACGACAAGAAAACTGGACATTTTAACAATCTTATAATATTACAAATAAATGATAGAACGGTGTAAGAAACGCTCTTGTAACCTTTACATACAGTAACATTATAATCACAACAAGAAGACTGGACAATTTAACATTTTAGATACATTTCAAAACAATGTTCCCAAAACAGTTACCTGGGTATGATGGTCTAATGCAGAAATTTAGCTTGTTAATTTTACTATATGGTTGCTAGGTTGCTTTAAATGGTTGCTAGGGTGTGGTTAGGTAGTTGTCAGATATTTAAAGACTACTTATCAGTCTGAGTAAAAAAAAACAAAAAAAACAAGCCAACACGCTTGTCTTTTACGATGTCCTGATCCAGAGATTTTCCTCTCATCCTTGTTCAGTGGAAGTCTATGGGGTGGTTGCTAGGGTGTGGTTAGAAGACTGGACAATTTAACATTTTAGATACATTTCAAAACAATGTTCCCAAAACAGTTGGGTGGGTATGATGGTCTAATGCAGAAATTTAGCTTGTTAATTTTACTATATGGTTGCTAGGTTGCTTTAAATGGTTGCTAGGGTGTGGTTAGGTAGTTGTCAGATATTTAAAGACTACTTATCAGTCTGAGTAAAAAAAACAAAAAAAAACAAGCCAACACGCTTGTCTTTTACGATGTTCTGATCCAGAGATTTTCCTCTCATCCTTGTTCAATGGAAGTCTATGGGGTGGTTGCTAGGGTGTGGTTAGGAGGTTAGGGTGTCACTATTTATAGTCTGTGTGCTTTATAGGCTCCCACCCTGAAGTCTCTGTGAGATATGGGCACTCAAATTATTTTGCAAATGCAAGTCTAAAACATCAGAAAGAGATTTAAGGTTTTAGACTTTTAAATGATGTTTCTTGTTTTTGGATGTTGTCAATGGACCAGTGAATTGTTTAGACATTTTCTTTCAACGGTACTTCTTAATGTCCACCTCTGAATCAGATTAAATCCATTTATTTGTCTACTTTTTTAACAAGGGCAAATTCGCTATAAACTAGTTTTGGTGACTTTCATGCTGGTTTTATCATGCCTACAGTGGTTAAGATGTACAGCCTACAACAAGCTACCAGTAACAAGCTATCTAACACCAGTTAAGACCATCTTATGTCTTATGCACAGACATACAAGTATAGGCCCAATAATTCCCTAATTTTAACAAGAGAATGATGTATAATATGATCTCACAAGCTGTATATTAACCATGGCATTGTATTTTATACATACACTCTAAAAAATGCTGGGTTATTATTATTATTTTAAACCCAAATGCTGGGTTCAGCTTGTTGGGTCATTTTATTGGGTTGTATTTAATATTTTTACCCAGATGCTGGGTAGTTTTTCTGTAACTAAGTTGCTGGGTTATTTTTTTTTTTAAACCCAATTGCTGGGTTCAGCTTGTTGGGTCATTTTATTGGGTTGTATTTAATATTTTTACCCAGATGCTGGGTAGTTTTTCTGTAACTAAGTTGCTGGGTTATTTTTTTTTTTAAACCCAATTGCTGGGTTCAGCTTGTTGGGTCATTTTATTGGGTTGTATTTAATATTTTTACCCAGATGCTGGGTAGTTTTTCTGTAACTAAGTTGCTGGGTCATTTTTTTTTTTAAACCCAATTGCTGGGTTCAGCTTGTTGGGTCATTTTATTGGGTTGTATTTAATATTTTTACCCAGATGCTGGGTAGTTTTTCTGTAACTAAGTTGCTGGGTTATTTTTTTTTTTAAACCCAATTGCTGGGTTCAGCTTGTTGGGTCATTTTATTGGGTTGTATTTAATATTTTTACCCAGATGCTGGGTAGTTTTTCTGTAACTAAGTTGCTGGGTTATTTTTTTTTTTAAACCCAATTGCTGGGTTCAGCTTGTTGGGTCATTTTATTGGGTTGTATTTAATATTTTTACCCAGATGCTGGGTAGTTTTTCTGTAACTAAGTTGCTGGGTCATTTTTAATGCTGGGTTATTTTTTTTCTACCCAATCGCTGGGTTGAGCCTGTCTCTGATGAAACAACCCAGCTGCTGAGTTACAGTCAGATCGCAGGCTTTTTGAGTCCACAGGACAGAGCGGTTCTCAGCGCTGCCGATTTGGTGCACTTCTTCAGCGAAATAAATACTTTTTATTTCATTTATAAAGACTTTACTGTGCTATAAATTGTATTATTTTATGCAATGCAACATAAGAACGAGTGAACATTCAGCTACGAGTGAAACGTGAGGCCGCGGTCTGAAGTTCGCAGTTCATCCGGCGAACAGCAACCCTTCACCGGCTCAGATTTCGGTGACACACCGGCACGAGAATTAACACTATTTTGGTGAAAAGCGATTACAGAGAACGGTTGAATACACTTAAATTAAAATGCTACATTTAAATGTTACATATTTTATGTCTA